CAATGAACAGTTGTAAATGCTAAAGTTTTGAAATGCTGTAAAAATAGTTGATGTTAGTTATGCATTCATTTATAATAACTAATGGACATATCATAAGTAATAATTTGAGCAATAACATAAAAAAATAACAATTGTATCGGTCATTGGTTACTTGTGTGAACCTTATAATATATAATGGGCATTATTGTATAACGAGGAACAAGAAGAAGAAGAAGAAGAAGAAGAAGAAAGAAAGAAAAAGAAAGAAAAGATTATTGGTTGACTAAACCTGCAGCAAAACTTCACGTGTATTTAAAATCAGAACAAAATTTCATCATTCATGAATAAAGACATTTGTGATTTTCTTTTCGGCTTAGTCCTTTTATCAATCAGGGGTCGCCACAGTGGAATGATTCGCCAACTTATCCAGCATATGTTTCATGCAGCGGATGCCCTTCCAGCCGCAACCAAGCACTGGGAAATATCCACACACTCCCATTCACACTCACATAGAGCCAATTAAGCTTATTCAATTCAATAATAGCGCATATCTTTTGGCTGTAGGGGAACACCTGGAGGAAACCCACGCGAACATGAGGAGAACATGCAAACTCCACACAGGCATGCCAACTGACTCAGACAGGGCTCAAATTAGTGACCTTTTGCTGTAAGGCAATCGTGCTTCCCATTGCGCCACTGAGACAACCCACACATAACTTTAACTAACCCTAAAATAAAATGTATATATTTTAGATACATGTAAATATATATATATATATATATATATATATATATATATATATATATATATATATATATATATATATATATATATATATATATATATATATATATACACACACACACACACACATATATATATATGTATGTATGTATGTATATATATATATATATATATATATATATATACATACATACATATATATATATACATACATACATATATATATATACATACATACATATATATACACACACACACACACACACACACACACACACACACACACACACACACACACACACACACACAGTTGAAGTCAGAATTATTAGCCCCCCTGTTTTTTTCCCACAATTTCTGTTTATTGGAGAGAAGATTTTTTTTTTCAGCACATTTCTAAACATAATAGTTGTATTAACTCATTTTTAATAACTGATTTATTTTATCTTTGCCATGATGACAGTAAATAATATTTTACTAGGTATTTTTTTAAGACACTTCTATACAGCTTAAAGTGACAATTAAAGGCTTAACTAGGTGAACTAGGCAGGTTAAAGTAATTGGGCAAGTTATTGCATAACAATAGTTTGTTCTGTAGACTATCGAGAAAAAATTGTCTAAAGGGGCTAATAATTTTGTCCATAAAATGGTGTTTAAAAATTAAAAACTGCTTTTATTCTAGCTGAAATAAAACAAATAAGACTTTCTCCAGAAGAAAAAATATTATCAGACATACTGTGAAAATGTCCTGAATCTGTTAATCGTTATTTGGGAAATATTTAAAAAAGAAAAAAAATTCAAAGGGGGGATAATAATTCTGACTTTAACTGTATACATGTGTAAATACAAACACCTATTTTATAAGAAACGTGTCTCGTGACCACTTACAATATCCACTGCTGCTTTAAATCTGCTGGTTTAGACTGTTGAATGATTCTTGCAAAGATTGATCGGACAGATTATGCAGGAACCCCTATAATGGTATTCATTATTATTACCCATTATAGGTGTGGTCAAATGTATATTTATATTATCTATTATTTTAATTATTAATATTATTATTTGAGATACAGATAAGGGAAAACTATTTCTCACTATTAAAGAGCTGACCCCCAAACATCTTGTTTCGACGTCCTTCAGGGGGGGTGGGGATGGGTGACATGCTAGATGTGTCAAAATTATTAATAGCATATTTTTAATAGCTGCTTGTCACCAACTATTGCTTAAAGTAATTGCTGCCTAAAACTTTCATTTAAGTGTCATTAAATGCATATGGGCGAGGCAGTGGCGCAGTAGGTAGTGCTGTCGCCTCAGAGCAAGAAGGTCGCTGGGTCGAACCTCGGCTCAGTTGAGGTTTCTGTGTGGAGTTTGCATGTTCTCCCTGCCTTCGCGTTACGTTTCCTCCGGGTGCTCCGGTTTCCCCCACAGTCCAAAGACATGCGGTACAGGTGAATTGGATAGGCTAAATTGTCCGTAGTGTGTGGATGTTTCCCAGAGATGGGTTGCAGCTGGAAGGGCATCCGCTGCGTAAAAACTTGCTGGATAAGTTGGCGGTTCATTCCGCTGTGGCGACCCCGGATTAATAAAGGGACTAAGCCGACAAGAAAATGATTGAATGAATAAATGCATATGATGGTGATTTTAATCTTTACCACAAACATCAGTGATTTTATCTAAACTATAAACTGTTTTCCCAGTACTTCTAAAATATTTGACTGTTTGTAACTTCATAACTAACTCGAAAGACTAAAGACTAAGGGTGTCATGATCCTCCAAAGCCTCGATTCGATTACATTTTCGATTCTAAAGGCACGATTCGATTCGATTATGAATAATTAATTAATTAATGACCAATTAATTATTTGTAGCCTACCGTTTAAACTACCTGACCTGCATGGTCTTTGTTTTACCCATAAACAAATCATACAGTAAATGAATAAAGGCAAGATACACACATAATTACCACCTGTCAATCACTTTTTCTGCGGGACTCGTGAATAGGCAGTGATCTGTGTCGTTATAATGGCGTCGGTAAAAAAGACGCACAGCCAACAGGAACCAGCCAACAGTATCTGAGGTGTTCGCTAAAATGACTAAGTACAAGTGAGTGAAAGATTGAAGCAGTCCTCTGACTGCCTGGACCTGCTGTCTCGAGCGCATGGCTGTGTGCGTCTGTGTCTGTGTGGTCACGTGATGTGCATTTTCAGAGGTAGAGAGGAAGGAGGGCTGCTCAGAAATGCTACACGCCACTGTGGATGTCAAATCGTTGTCGTTCTAAAATGCCATTTAAAAACAAAGACAGTGTAAACAGGTCCTGAGTGTGTAATTTTCGCGAGCGGATATGCAACGGGGGCGGACGGAGGATCGCGATGCTGGTGTTGTCTATCGGACGAACCCTAATACGTACATAGCAGAGCTTGCAAAACTGTGTTTTTTTTATGTCGACAACACGAACGTTGTCAACATAACTCACTGGAAATCCAAAATGCTTACACACCGGCGACTTCATTGAAAGAGGAGAGGGTTTAAGTTCTGTCGACGGGTCTCCTGCTTCTGCAGTTTAACAAGCACTTCAACAAGCCTGTTTTTTTCCCGCTTGGCAAGCCAAGCTGACGTGACATGGGGGCGTGGCAGCATCGACGATTCTATTTTTTGATTCGATAATCGAAATTAAGCATAAATTTCGATCGATTTTTAAAATCGAAATCGTGCCACCCCTACTAAAGACTCAATCTCTTTCTTGATTTTGCCTTTTTCAAACACAGATTTGAATGCAGCAAAGCAATGAATTAATAAACATATGCAAATCACCATCATTTATAATTGAAGTTGCGTGGATGTTGAGATCCTGATCTCTAATTGATTAATCGTGCAGCTTACACTGAATGCATTGCTGCAGACTAAACAAGTAGTGACAGAAAACACTTAAGAAACTCACCACATCCCGAACAATCCACCACAACTTCTTCTGTCATCATGTAACAGGAAAGCCTAAATGCTTTCATATATGTGATCTGAATGTCGCAAGAGGCACTCTCTCTGCAATCATTACAAATTTAGTTCTGCAATCGTTACGAATGGATCAACCGTGATCCAATACATCCCTAGTAAAATACAGTCCATATTAGTTAAATACTATGTAATTTACAAAAATCTTTAACGGTGTATATCATAATCCTAAAACATCTCTTCAGATTAGTTCAGATTTAATTCATTATTCATAATAAAATAGACACACTGATGACTGGGATCATGTGAAGAAAGAGCGCTGTTTAATCAGACTAAATACACTTTGGGCTTGTGTTATAATGCTGCTGTGTGCGGTCTAATCAAACACACAGCATATTAAATAGTTTTTGCTGTTTCCGTTTTCTAACTCTCTGGCCACTTTATTAGGTACACCTGTCCAACTGCTTGTTAACGCAAATTTCTAATCAGCCAATCACATGGCAGCAGAGCCGGCCCAAGGCATAAGCGAACTAAGCGGCCACCAGGGGGCCCCCAAGAGTGCTAGAAATTATTGTGTGACTTTCGTTTTAGTTTGTTGAGTTGTGGATTAGTGGTGGGACAAAATATTTGCCCATTTATAGTGTTATTTCTGACCGCGATGCATACTCAGGCGCCAAGATATTTACCTAAATTTACAAAAGATCTGATTTAATTAATCAGTTTTCCACACTGACTGCAGCAGATAACCGCTTTAGCTACAGTACACCCAGCCGCCACCAGGTGGCGCTTCCCGTAATGGTGGTCGGCGGATCATGGGACATACATCAGTGTCATGTAAACAACGGACAGACCAGGCACGTGCACACATAGGGCTCAACCTGTGCAGTGCACATGCCCTTTTTAGTGTTGGATAGAAAGTGCCCTTCCAAAATGATCAAAAGTGCCCCCGCGACGCGGCACACCCTCGGTCCCGCCCTTCAGTAGGCGCGCGACAACACCGCTCTTCAGTAATTGTTATATCTCCAGTTATTGTGTGCGAATTATCAAGGATTGATGATAATTTCTCATATTGTTTGCACCAAGGGGGCCCCAAATAAAATCCTGCTTAGGGCCCCCTGAAGGCTTGGGCCGGCCCTGCATGGCAGCAACTCAATGCATTTAGTCAAGTAGACACAGTCAAGACAATCTGCTGCAGTTCAAACCGAGCATCAGAATGGGGAACAAAGGTGATTTTGGTGAACGTGGTATGGTTGTTGGTGCCAGAGGGGCTGGTCTGAGTATTTCAGATACTGCTGATCTACTGGAATTTTCATGCACAACCAAAAGAGAATTTATCCGGTGAGGGGCAGATTCTGTGGATGCAAATGCCTTGTTGATACCAGAGGTAAGAGGAGAACAGCCAGAGTGGTTCGAGCTGATAGAAAGGCAACTGTAACTCAAATGACCACTCGATACAACCGAGGTATCATCTCAGAGTTGTTTCTTGAACATGACAATGAGTTCACTGTACTCAAATGGCCTCCACAATCACCAGATCTCAGTCCAATAGAGCACCTTTGGGATGTGGTGGAACTGGAGATTCATTAACATCATGGATGTGCAGCTGACAAATCTGCAGCAACTGCGTGATGCTATCATGTCAATATGGACCAAAATCCCTGAGGAACATTTCCAGTACCCTGTTGAATCTATGCCACGACGAATTCAGGTGGTTCTGAAGGCAAAAGGGGGTCCAACTCAGTACTAGTAAGGTGTACCTAATAAAGTGGCCAATGAGTGTATAACTTTATAGTTTCATAAACATAAAGTTACTGTTAGATTGAGCACGAAAAGTAGCATACTATATAGAATGCGGAAACAGTCAGATTCGCATGCTAACGTTATTCTTTACCAAAGTACACCATGTTTTATTTATTAGCGCAGTACGCTGGAACTCCATCGCGAACACAGCCGGCGCGTCATGGCCGCAAACATTCCATAAGAACAAATTTATGCGAAAAGTATTCCATCTTCAGTTCCAAAAATCTTTCAAAAAAAAAAACGCGCGAAGTGTTATCCAACTCACACGACCGAAAGAGGAACATGGTAAGTTAACTGTTAAACACCTCAAAGATGCAGTCAGTGTGTTTGTGTGTCGGTGAAGCCGCAGACAGAGGAACCTCAGCACTCACCCCGAGCAGACAAACTTTTAGCTCCCTTATGGCCATGGTTGAGCACGCTAAGGCAGCTGGAGCATTATTCTAACACTCCCCGGTCTGGTTTCGTCGACTTGCGTCCATCACGTAAAACACATCTGTGAAACACAATCTCTGACCATCTCCCTTCCCAAAAGCTAACGGAAACCGACTCAGAGAAATTGGGCTGAGCTGTCAGTCATGTCACGTGACGACCTAAACCACGCCCTTAAACGGAGAAAGACTTCAAGTAATTTAACTCTATTCAAATTCTAATAGTAGCTGTAGTGATAATAATGATAACAACACCTGAAAGATTTATGGAGCAATTCCATGCAAATGCCAACAATTTTCAAACAAACAGAGCATCTCTTTCTTGTGTGCTTGTATTTTGTCAGATTTGAAAAATTCACGTAACTCTGGATTTGGTCATTTGTAGTAGCACTGCAATCATTATCTGGATAGTTAAGTTTATAACAGTGAAGCTTAATTTTAAGTTGAAGAACATTTAAATTTATAGTTAATCCATAAACTACATAAAAAAATTAAAATCTTGAATAAAATTAATGTCCATTCACATTAAAGAAACAAATAAATACAGGATTAGTAGTGTAGGACTGGCATTAAATATGTAAATTAGAACATTTGAACCAAGAAAAGGAAAGAACTCCTTTATGTACTACGTAACTAAAACGCTAATATAACAAATCATAAATTGAAAAAACATTTAATTGAGTAATGACTGCACTGTATTTTGTAATAACCATTATATTATCATTTAAATATCCTAAATGTACTAGTCCAAATAAAAAGAGCGCAAATGAAAAGATTTTACTGTATCAATGTTTTAATATGCAATATGTTATGCAAATAACAGTTACTTCATTTTGCACAGTATATTTATTAAAATAATGTACAAAAAAAAAAAAAAAATCCCAGGTTGTTGTAACACAACATTCTGTCAAATATAGACAAACCCAATGTTAGGATTTTATTATTATTTTCAATTGAACTTAAATGACACATCATTAGGGTTAAAACGTGTAATTTAAATTGAATTTAAAATAAACCAACATTGGGTTTGTCCTCATTTGAACCAACTTAAAACATTTTAAATTTGAACCATTTAAAACAGCTTGCGTAACTTTAAAAAATTAAGTTAGAACATGATTAATTTAGATTAATAAGTTACAATGATATAAAAATATATGCTGTCATGACTAATTGATCATAATTTTTTACAGTTTATACACGCACACACACATATATACGCACACACACATATATACACATATATATACACATATATATATATATATATATATATATATACATATATATATACATATATATATATACACACACACACACACACACACACACACACACAGACATATATATATATATATATATATATATATATATATATATATATATATATATACACACACACATACACATACATACATACATACATATATACACACACACACACACACACACACACACACACACACACACACACACACACACACACACACACACACACACACACACACACACACACACACACACACACACACACACACACACACACACACACACACACACACACACACACACACACACACACACACACACACACACACACACACACACACACACACACACATATATATATATACACACACACACACATACACATACATACATACATACATACATACATACATACACACACACACACACACACACACACACAAAAACATATATATATATATATATATATATATATATATATATATATATATATATATATATATATATATATATATATATATATGTGTGTGTGTGTGTGTATATATATATGTGGGGGTGTGGGTGTGTGTGTGTGTGTGTGTGTGAGAGTGAGAGAGTATATGTGGATTTCTGTGTGTGGGTGTGAGAGTGTGGGGGGAGAGAGATCTCTGAGATAAAGTGTGTGTGGGGGTGTGTCCCACTCATCACTAATAGTGGAGAGGATCTAGTGGGATGTGTGTGGGCCCGAGATACTCACAGAAATCTGTCGAGTGAGAGGGAAAAATCGTGGTGTGGGGGTGCATTCTGTGTGGGGGCGTGAGAGAGATCTGGAGAGTGCACA